CTCATGCCTGACCATACTATGACGTTTTTATGACCTTTTATGCCTTAATATACTATGATGTATTTTTTGAATTTTTTTGCCATACTATACTATGACGTTTTTTGTCATTTTTGTGCCATACTATACTAAGATCTTTTTTGGCATTTTTATGCCTATTCATATTATTTCGGATCATGCCTGACCATAATATGATGTTTTCATGACATTTTATGCCTTAATATACTATGATGTATTTTTGACATTTTATGCCATACTATACTATGACGCCAAAAAAGATCTTAGTATAGTATGTATAGTATAGTGTATTGAGGCATAAAAATGTCAAAAAAGGTAATAGTATAGTATGGCATAAAAATGTAAAAAAAAAATGTCATAGTATAGTATGGCATGAAAATGTCAAAAACATCATAGTATAGTATGGCACAAAAATGTCAAAAAANTATTTTTGACATTTTATGCCATACTATACTATGACGCCAAAAAAGATCTTAGTATAGTATGTATAGTATAGTGTATTGAGGCATAAAAATGTCAAAAAAGGTAATAGTATAGTATGGCATAAAAATGTAAAAAAAAAATGTCATAGTATAGTATGGCATAAAAATGTCAAAAACATCATAGTATAGTATGGCACAAAAATGTCAAAAAACGTCATGGCATAGTATGTCAAAAAACGTGATAGTACATTAAGGCGTAAAAATGTCAAAAAAAAGTCATAGTATAGTATGGCATAAAAATGTCAAAAAACATCATAGTATAGCCTGGCATAAAAAAGTTATAGTACAGCAAGGCATAAAAAAAAAAAAAAAAAACATCATAGTATAGTATGGCATAAAAATTTCAAAAAACGTCATAGTATAGTATGTCATAAAAATGTCATAGTATAGTATGGCATAAAAATGTCAAAAAACGTCATAGTAAAGTATGTCATAAAAATGTCATAGTATAGTATGGCATAAAAATTTCAAAAAACGTCATAGTAAAGTATGTCATAAAAATGTCATAGTATAGTATGGCATAAAAATGTCAAAAAACGTCATAGTAAAGTATGTCATAAAAATGTCATAGTATAGTATGGCATAAAAATGCCAAAAAAACGTCATAGTATAGTATGGCAAAAAAACGTTCTAGTATATCAAGGCATAAAAATATCAAAAAAGGTCATAGTATAGTATGGCATAAAAATGTCAAAAAAAACATCATAGTATATTATGGCATAAAATTGTCAAAAAACATCATAGTATAGCCTGGCATAAAAAGTCACAGTACAGCAAGGCATAAAAATGTGAAAAAACGTCATGGTATAGTATGGCATAAAAAGTTCAAAAATGTCATAGTGTAGTATGGCATAAAAAGTTCAAAAAACGTCATAGTATGGCCTAGTATGGCATAGTATGGCAGAAAATTCTCAAAAAACGTCATAGTATAGAGTATGTCATAAAATTCTCAAAAAATGTCATAGAATACTATGGCATAAAATTTTCAAAAAACATCAAAGTATAGTATGGCATTAAAAGTTAAAAAAAACTTCATAGTATAGTATGGCATAAAATTCTCAAAAAACGTTATAGTACAGTATGGTATTAAATTGTCATAGTATAGTAAGTCATAAAAATGTGAAAAAACATCATGCTATAGTATGTCATAAAAATATCAAAATACGTCATATTATAGTATTGCATAAAAATGTGATAGTATATTATGGCATAAAATTTCAAAAAACCTCACCATTACATGTCATAAAATACTCAGAAAACTTCATAGCATAGTATGGCATAAAATTGTCAAAAAAGGTCACAGTATAGTAAGGCATAAAATGTCAGTTACAGTTGCCAATTAACCTATTGTTCATGTCCTTCCACATGATAACCCGTGCATTTACAGGGAGATCATGCAAACTCCACAAAGAAAGGGCCAAGGCTGGGATTCGAAATAACAACCTTCTAATTTTGAAGCATCAGTTCTAACCACTGTACTATTGTGTCCCTACTTATATCATTGTATATTAAACGATAAGGACATCAAAGTATCGTGAGAAATGAAAGCGTCACAGTGTATTGAGGCATAAAAATGTTGAAAAAAGTCATAGTATAGTATGGAATCATTCATTCATTCATTCATTTTCTACCGCTTATCCTCTAGTAGGGTCGCGGGGGGGCTGGAGCCTATCCCAACATCCTTTCGGGCGAGAGGCGGGGTACACCCTGGACAGGTCGCCAGTCCATCGCAGGGCAAACACACAGAGACAGACAACCATTCACTCTCACAGCCACACCTATGATTAATTTTGAGTATCCAATTAGCCTAGTCCCCATTTGCATGTCTTTGGACTGTGGGAGGAAGCCGGAGTATAGTATGGAATAAAATTCTCAAAAAACATCATAGTATAGTATGCCATAAAATTGTCATAGTATAGTATGCCATAAAAACGTCAAAAAACGTCACAGTATAGTATGTTATAAAAATGTCATAGTATAGTATGGCATAAAAATGTCAAAAAACGTCATAGTAAAGTATGTCAAAAAAAATGTGATAGTATATTAAGGCATAAAAAGGTCAAAAAAGGTCATAGTATAGTATGTCATAAAAATGTCAAAAAAACGTCATAATATATTATGGCATAAAAATGTCAAAAAACATCATAGTATAGCCGGGTATAAAAAAGTCATCGTAAAATAAGGCATAAAAATGTCAAAAAACGTCATAGTACAGTAAGGTATAAAAAGTAAAAAAAAACGTCATAGTATAGTTTGGTATAAAAATAAAAAAAAACATCATAGTATAGTATGCCAAAAAAATTTGATAGTATATTAAGGCATAAAAATGTCAAAAAAAGGTCATAGTATAGTATGTCATAAAAATGTCAAAAAAAATGTCATAGTATAGTATAGCATAAAAATGTCAAAAATCGTCAGAGTATAGTATGGCATAAAAATGACAAAAAACGTCACAGTATAGTATGGCTTTTCGGACATGTTGGGTTCACATTATTATTTTTGTTTTGACTATTGTTATTGGATTTGTTTGTTTTTCAGTTTACTTTGTTGTGTTACTCGCACATGTTCGAAATAAACTAAATAAACTAAAAACTAAACTAAAAAAATGTGATAGTATATTAAGGCATACAAATGTCAAAAAAGGTCATAGTATAGTATGGCATAAAAATGTGTAAATCCATCATAGTATTAGGTAAACATTCAATCTCCACAAAGCATTGCCCCATGGCTGGGATTCGAACCCAAAACTTCTGAACTTGAAGCAACAGCCTTCATCACTGTACTACCATGCTGCTGCTTATTTGGCTGCAGTATACCAAGCCATAAAAACTTCATAGAATACTAAGGTATAAAAAGTCAGAGTATATTTACGCATGAAAATGTCAAAAAAGGTCATGAATGTAACGGCTCTGGTAAGGCTTGGACTCAGATGCAGAGAAAAAACACAGGAAACTGAGTGAGGCTCAAAATAAAAATCACTGTCTTTACTAATGATTTTCAAAGCACAACCAAGGTATACAAAAGGGTTAACTAAAATAGACAGGAAAAAGGCAAAGTCAAAAAATCGCTGAGAACACACAGTAAATCCAAGAGGGTCTGATCACGGGAGAAAACCAAGACAATCTGGCAAAGGCATGAGGAGCTGGTGGGTAAGTATATAGACAGGGATGGTACTAGGGTAATCAGGGGCAGGTGAGTGAGTGGCCGCAGGTGTGGTTGATGGAAGGCGAGAAAACACAGGAAACTGAAATGACACAAGAGGTGAACACTACAAAATAAAACAGGAAACATAACGAAAATCCAGAATGTTACAATGAAACTTTTTTATTATGGCATAAAAATGTCATACTATAATAAGACATAAAAAATATCAAAAAACGTCATAGTATAGTATGGCATAAAAATGTCAAAACCGTCATAGTATAGCATGTCATAAAAATGTGATATTATAATAAGGCATAAAAATGTCAAAAAAAGATCATAGTATAGTATGTCAAAATTCTCAAAAAACGTCATAGTATAGTATGGCATAAAAATGAGATAGTATAATAAGGCATAATAATGTCACAGTACAATAAGGCATGAAAATGACAAAAAAAAAGGTCATAGTATAGTAAGGCATAAAAATGTCAAAAAACTTCATAGTATAGTAAGTTAATATAACATAATAGTATAGTATGTCATAAAAATGTAAAAAAAAAAACAAAAAAAAACGTTGTACTTAGAATGGCATAAAAATGTCAAAAAACGTCATAGTATAATAAGGCATAAAAATGTAAAAAAAAAAAAATCATAGTATAGTATGTTAATATAACATAATAGTATAGTATGTCATAAAAATGTCAAAAAAAAACGTTGTACTTAGAATGGCATAAAAATGTCAAAAAAAAAACATCATAGTATAGCAAGACATATGATCTTCCAATTAACTTAATGCGCATGTCTTTGGATTGCGGAAGGAAACTATAGTTCCCAAATGAAACCCATGCAGGTAGGCCTATTGGGTGAACATGTAGTTAGCATGCCTAAATCGGTTGTCTTGGAGACGAAGCCTCTTGGAGGGCACACTGGTATGATCTCATATGACTTCACTCCAAACAGTGCGAGTGAGTTTACTCAAATATTGGCAGGGACAATTCTGTCCTGCCAAATTATTTGTAGGGACATGCCCCTATCGCCCATATGCAAACCTACGCCCTTGATGATATGATTCCATTGAGTGTTAATAAATTATCATACTGAAGTACAGCCCAGCCCTAATTAATATAACCTACCTATTGCAATAGTTTATTATGGGTAATGTAGGTTTGACTATATAGGGGGCGGGTGCTTTTCATGAGCCTAAAATCTCCTGAACAAAAAAGAAAAAAACTATTAAGATTTTAATTCAAAACCGTAATGAGTGTTCACAGTTAATTCTGCAGCAGCCTGTGATCTGCTCTCGGTGACGCGGTGTGACTTCACACGGAGGCTGGAGGAGGACGCCGCCGCTTCGCGCAGCTCTCTGACCGTCTCCTCTCGTTCGCTCGGCAGGCGTCAGGCTGCAGAAACCCGGAGGGATGGAGCCAGCGGGCGCGTACGGCGCCGGGAAGGCCGGAACCCTCGCCTTCGATCCGGTTGCCTTCTTCACGCATCCCCGGACCATCCTCAGACTGCTGTCGTGGGTAAGTCTCCTCTGCAATGTGTCGGTTATCATCAATGGACGGGCCTACCTGCACCCCCCCTCTATGTCTCTCTCCCATTCACATTCTCTTTTATCTCTGCCTCCCTCTCTGCTGATGTGTCTTTTATCCAGTCAGGTTAGGATTAAGATAAATCAGTATTTTTATGAAAGGCTGGGGACGTTTGAGTTAAAGCTCTGCTGTGAGATTCATCTCAGGATCGTATTGCAGAAATCATTTCAGTGATGCAGCTTGTGGCTGGAGCTTCAGGACCAGCGTCTGATTAACATACATATCTGGGGCCTCTTTGTGTCTGGATTGCGCTAATGTGAATGCTTTAGATTTAAATACCCCCCAACCAGAAGATAACACATCTCTGGTCTGTCTGTGGTGTGATGCTGTGCAGCTGTGAGTCACCAAACAGCCTTTAATTTGCACTGAGGGAACAAGGAACAATTTGGTTTTAAAGGAGACAGCAAGTTAACAGATGCACATCAAGCCTCTGTCTCTGTGTCTCATAATTCAATTCAGTTGTTTGTCAGAAGCAATTTTCCATTCCTTCTTGAAACAAAGCATATAACTGCAAAATGAAATACAGTGTAGTAAACACACAGTCAGGTCATAAAGAGACACTTCACATAAGAAAAACATAGAGATATTACAAAATGGAATAGGTCAGTGCAATAAACAATGTGACACATAGACTTTACAATAAACAGCTGTAGGTAGAGATTAGGACTGAAACTCATGATTGTTCTATAAGTCTATAACATATGAGTAATACTGAAAATTGCTTGTTATGTCAAACAAACACTTCAAAAAGCAAATATTTTGAATTTATTATCACATCATCAAAAGACAAAGAAAAGCAGCAAATACCCTCAAATTGGAAGCAAAAACCAGAGTGTTGTTGTTTGTTGTTTTTTTTAAGAAAAATCAGCTCTAATAGAGAAATGGAAGATTTTGTAAATTAAAATTATGTTTTCATATTTATTTTGCTTGCTGCTGACAGTCCTTTATTGTCACATATTGTGTAGGTACAGTTTCTCAATAAATGTCTTAGATTACCATGTACATTTTGTAAGGACTTAAGTAAATATCTTAGTAAGTATCTTAATATGATCAGTTGACCCTAGAGACAATACCTTTAAATGTGCCCTTTCAATGTGTGTTTTCTTGAAAAGAGACAAATGCTATGTTTACATTTAGTGTTTGTCACTAAAACATGTATATCACACTGTCTCATGTGCTATTATGGTTGCATGTGCCTCCTCTTGTGTGTGAATGATAAAAAACAAAACAGGGACACACCTGTAAAAATATTGCTCCATAGCATTACTGGTGGTCAAAAACTCCACATGGTAGCTTTAATATTTCAGCTTACATTCTCCCTACGTAAATTAGTATTTTATCAAATTATAACAAGACTAACCTGAGGGCAGGGGAGGCAGAAATCAAGGCCTGCAGCTCATTTTGCCCTTTTGGATTAATCAAACTCTAGTAAATGGGATTTTGTCTGTGGTCCTCAGAATATTGTTCCTGGAAAGACACTGCTTGTCAGTTCTTACCAGCGGTGGATGTCTCAAAATCTGTGCAAATAAAAATGAAACTGCATGGTTCAGTACCATTGAGAACGAACAGGAAGATGTTTTGTTAAAGTTAGTTCAATTTTGTTTCTTGATCCCCACTTCACCAAACTGTATGACAATTCAACTTATTCTACAGCACTTATACAGCACTACTTTCCCAGATAATCTCTAAAGTATCTGGACAGCTAGATGTATCACCAGGGGTAACTTGTGAAAATATGGTTCTTGGTTTGTTTTTTGTAATTTGGGTGAACTACACCTTTAAAACTATTGCATGACTATCATTGTATCTTGAAAACAGCTTCTCTCAGCACAGCAGCAGTGTTTGTTTGTACTGGTGAGTGTGTGTGTATGGCATGTATGAGGAATGAAAGGCATTCATACACCAGTGTGAGTTCATTCTCTTTTACCTGTTAGATAATAAACCAGCCCACGTGTTTTTCCCTGCAGGTTTTCTCCATAGTGGTGTTCAGCTGCATCGTGAATGAGGGCTACATCAACATCGGCAGTGAGCGTTTGCTCTGCATCTTCAACAACAACGCTGACGCCTGTAACTTTGGTGTGACTATTGGCGTGGCCTGTTTCCTCGGAAGTATCTGTTTCATGATCCTGGACGTTTACTTTCCCACCATCAGCAGCGTCAGGGACAGAAGACGCGCCGTCCTGCTGGACCTCGTCTTCTCTGGTATGAATAAACACAAACATCATGGAGCTTGTAGGTATATGAAAGACATACAACTGGACCAGATTAAAACAGAATAAGGTAAAGCAAATTCCAAGTAAAATCAAACATTTCACCAATGTGTGACACTTGCTATGGCAACCAATTAGCTTAGCTTAGCTAGAGTGGATTTAACAAGGGGGAAACAGCTAGCCTGGCTCAGTAACAAAAGCCAACTACCAGCACCACTAAAGCTCACAAATTACTACATTATAGCTATTTTTTTTATCCACATAAAAACAAAAGTGTAAAAGTGGCACAATATGGTTTTATGTGGGGATATGCCCTGCAGTCTCTCCTGGTCGTCTGTCAACCTCACAGCGATGACATGACCCCCTGGCTTTTAGTTTTCATGTATCCATTGTAATATGTCAACATCTGCTAGATTGATTGTCACAAAATGTTGTACAAATATTTATGGTTCTTAGACAAAGAATCCTAATCCCCTGACTTTTCCTCTAGTGCCACTGTGAGGTTGACATTTGTGGTTTTGGGTGAAATGTCTCAACAACTATTGGATTTGGAAATTGGATGTAGACTCCAGATCTCAAAAGTGAAGCCAATGCGGAAGTGCCTTAAACCTGCATTCTTTCTAATGACCAGAAGGGGGTGACTCCTCTGGTTGCAAAAAGAAGTCAGATTGTTTAGAAATCTATGACAAAACGATCCTACTTTTCCTAATGAATTATGGTTTCAGTGGTTAGTTTCAAGTCTTGCACAATACAGCAACAATTTTTAAGTTCTTGTCCCATTTAGAGTAAAATTGATGATAAAGCAGCATATGATTTAGGGGGTGGTCACCATGTAATATAGACATGTAGTCATGTTAGCCTTAGGATTGTAAAAACTTTGTTGATCCATAGGGTTAGAGTTAGAAATTTTATATGGCATTATCATCAGGTCAAACTTTTCATCTCTCAAATGAACAAATACCTGCAAAAGTATTGACATTCCCATCAGCCCCAGTTGTACTTTGTGTTTAGCAAATGTTAGCATGCTAAACTAAGATAAAGTGTCTTTGAAAGCATGTCAGCATGCTGAAATTAGCATTCAACTCAAATTACTACTGTGCAACGCTTTACAGAGATGCTAACATGACTGTAGTCTCTTAGTTTTGATGTTACATGATTTTTACCTGTAAATTTAATGAGTGGGTTTCCATGCAAATATGCAAAATTTGGCCAAATTAAGTCACATTCATGTACGTCATGATTAATTCGCTAGGTCTGTTTCAGTTGCACTTTGTTACATTTTGCTTTAATCGATACACCAACGCACTAAGAAACAAGTGGATTGAAACCCACCTGTTGAAACCTGAAAAGTTTTGCCAGTGTGATTGTTAACAACAACTGAAACAATGTTATCTCTATGTGAAGCAGGTTGCTAAGTTAAAAGCAAATCAGGCTTATGAGAGAGAACAAGTTTTAAAGATAATCCATATTACCTTTTACAACTGAAAGCCCTAAAGCCCTAAAGCCCCTCTTTGTCGCTCCTCCAGGCCTTGCCAGCTTCCTGTGGTTCGTTGGCTTCTGTTTTCTGGCCAATCAGTGGCAGGCGACCTCTCAAGACGAGCTGCCATTGGCCCAGGGCTCCGACGCTGCCAGAGCCACCATCGCTTTCTGCTTCTTCTCCATCCTCACCTGGGTCTGTATACTTAAACCTGTGTATACACCTGTCCTCTGTCTGTGTGTGTAAATTTATATGTATCTGACTTCATCATCATAATCATCGTCATCATCATATTTATGTGTATGACCAGGGGTGTGTGTGTGTATGTTATATTTCCAGGGTTATCAGTGTCTGCTGGCAATGAACACAGTTAAGAGCATTTCCTTCATGGAGGACAAGCAGAGGTTGCTGCCTAGGACCCCTCCCACCCTCTCTTTAGTCTAATACACACACTCACACACTCAAAGTCCATTAAGTAGTGGGAGAATAAGGCTGAGTGATGTGGTCTAAGCTGACACAACAATGTGAAGAAAAAAAATGCTTTATGGATCTATATAACTATATGGATAATGAAGTTGATGCTCAGTGCAATGAGCTGCAATCCACTGTACATCAGACAAAATGTAATCATATGTGTAAAACAAAAACTGCAAAGATTCATATTAGTTTTAGTCAGGGGGGAGTCAAAGAATAGAACTTACACACACTTCATGACCACCACTTAAGTCCCCTTGACCAAGGCCCTTAACCCTCAAAGTGTGTGAACACAGTTCCAGTTGAGCTGCTCAGAGGGCGCTCAACTGGAACTGGTCAGACTCTGGTTTTACTGGGAGGTTTTCTTGTGTGAATGTGTGTTCGACCGTGTGCATGTGAACAAGGTCTTCCTGAAAAAGAGAACATTGTTCCCAGTGATAGCTCCCTGGTTAAATTAAACTTTAAAAAGAAATTGCAATGCCACAAGGCATCACCGCTCAGACAGAAAGCGATTTATTATCCAGTGGTAACTCAATGGAGCTTTTTAAAATCTCTCCACCAAACATAAAACAGTCATTCATCTCAGTGTCAGAGGATGTGAAGAGGTTAAACTGTAATTGTGTCAAGGATGTACAGTATGATACAAAAGTTACTTTTTTAGTCAAGTCATTTTTTCCCCCAACAGTCCTGTGGTAAATCATTCCAGTATTCTTCTGTAGAGGATTTATAGCATGTGACAAACAACGAAATCAATTTTCTTTAGACTTTCGATACTTTTTGAGGAAGTCTACTGATTTTACACATTAAAGTTGGTTTACTAGTCATGAGGAGGACAACTCAACATTAGTCTGCTTTCTAAAGTCTGAGAAAATGCCCTGAGTGATTTCACTATTGTTGATTTAATCTGAGTTTGGAGATTCATTTTTAACAAAAACAAACAGAATGGAGAATGGAGTTTGAGAAATGTGGTTGTTTACTAACTAGGGAGGCTATATGCTCTGAAGTTGCTTTATGGGAAATAGAGCAGCCAGCATTTTTGGAGTTTGACACATACTATATTTTCAAAGTCAGGACACAGTGGTCTAAGCTGCTATGATTTTGACTATTCTTTTTCAATCTGTCTCTAGTTAGTTTCTTCAACCCTCCTCTCCTGTTTGTGTAACTGCACTTTTACCCAAACTGAGCACGTGTGAAGGTTTGTGTAATAGAGCTTTTCCATTGCAGGAACTTTACATGGTGTAACTGTTCTCCATCCACTTTGGAGATAAGTTCCCGGAACTCAGTTTCTGCACTGCTCAGGTTATAATAATAAATGCAATTTCTGTTCACTGTACTGAAGTACAGGACTTGAGTAAATGAACTTCATATATATATATATTCCACCACTTTGGTCCAGACAGAAATATCTCAAAGCTATTGGATGGACTGCCATGAAATCATACTGACTTTGATGATCAGTGACTTCCACTAAACACTTGCAAAACTAATGATGTCCTAGTTAAGTTAAGTTTTTCACATCGCAGGTCTGTTCCGCATTGCCTGCAATCCCACAATGCATTGTGAAGTGTTTTGCTTGTGTCCAGTAGAAACTGAATGGGGGACTTTGCGTTTCACCGCCTTCAGTTGATCTTTAACATTAGTCTGCAGTGAACAAAGCGGTAAACAGTAATCATGCATTTCTAATGCAAATAAATCAGTGTGTGACTAACAGTCTGCTAATGCCTGTGTTTGTATGTTTGTGTGTGTGTGTGTGTGTGTGTGTGTGTGTGTGTGTGTGTGTGTGTGTGTGTGTGTGTTACTAACAGGCTGTACTGACGCTGAGCGCACTGCGACGCTTCTTAACCGGCAGCAACACAAACTTGTTCACATGGCAACACCTGGAGCCCGCCCCCAGCAACGCTCGAGCTACACCGTACCCCATTGCCAACGGTGCTACCATAGTAACCACCAACCCCTATCAAGCCCCACCCTTCACTGAAACCCTGGACCCCCAGAAACTCACACAGCAGAGACCCATGGCTCCGGCCTTCTAGAGACAGACAGATGGACAGACAGAATGAAAGAAAGAGGAGGTGTGAGTTGTACAACACCGCACGGACAACTTCCTGCCTTGCTGTCTAGTGGCTTTCCATCCTCTCCTGGGACTGGCGAGATTCTGGGTCGTGTGATGTATGATCTATTTTCACCATGGCAACTGCTGGCTCAGCTTAGTTAGTTGTAACTCTCTGTGTCAAGAATACTGTCTTATGTCCCTGCACACACACAGGTATCGACGCACGCAAATACAGCTGTACTCACTCACACCTGGAAACAGATATACATGTACACCTGGAAACACATGTATATACACCTGGAAGGACGGACACACACACACACACACACACACACACACACACACACACACACACACACACACACACACACACACACACACACACACACACACACACCTTGACTGCATGTTCATATGGTGAGATTAACATAGATGTAGATCAGTGATGATGCTCCATCTGCCTTATTAAGGGACACAAGGTCTTTAGTGAAAGAAATATGGAGGACAGTGAAGCTCCTTTTGTCTGCTTCTGACCAATCACAAGCTGCCCTGCAGACATGTGGCCTCCCATTGGCTGAAATGGAGAGAGCTAGGTAGTTTGACCAATAGATTGTGAGCAAACAAGCGAGGGTGGCCCAGAAATTGGTACATTTTCTTGGCAGAGAAATAAAGGCAGGACAGCTTAATGCATTCTGAACGCTATAGTGTTTCAGTGTGAAATATTCATGTGATTAAATATTTTATTGTGATATGCTGAAGTGGTATAATGAAATATGAAAAAATAAAATCTATCCACCACCACCACAACCACCATCAGAGCTGTGAGTCTGCCTTTGTTCATGTCATCTTTAAAATAATTTCCTCTTTGCTTCTTGCAATGTGAGAAACAGTTTTGAATATAACTACATATTGAGACCAAGATCCAAGGATGTGTTAGGCATATTAATCAACATCTGCTGCAAGACCATAATTAGATAGGGTACTCGAGTTTTGTCTAATTCATTAGCAGCAGCAGGCTGCAGCTGTGTGTTAGCTTTATTTTTAGATTAAACAGCTCATGTTGAAGGAATATAGCCGCTTCCACTGTGTGTGTGTGTTTTTTTTTTTTGTTTTGTTTTTTAAATATCTTCATATGGGGGGGGGGCAGATTTAGAAGCAATGTTAAGGAGTCAAATGAAAGTCAGAAAGGAAGTGGTTTTATTCCAGCACTGTCCAATCATGTTACTGCAGGTGAGCTTCCTGTATATGACTCCCTGCTTCCAAGAATCTGCAGGAACATTATATAGTATTATATGAACATTTGCATCATCCAGAGTCATCATCATCATTATCATTCTATAACACTAACATCATCATCATCCATCCTCATCATCGCCACCACAAGCAGATAAAATGACATTCAAAAATGTAGAAATTGACCTTTGTAGTTCTCATATCATCACCGCTGTGTTAATAAAATATAATCTTAGCCTTTTTTCTACAAAGTTTACACATCGTTGTATCACCGGAGTAAAGCCCTTCTGTACATCTGCTTCAGTCTACATTTCACCCCCGCACCCATTATACAGAATAATCTCTACAAACCTCCGGCAACACGGGCCAGCTCGGGCTGCAGACAGCAGGGGGCAATCTATCTCTGCAGACCTGCAATCACATGCTTCACACTCACCTGCGTCTGAACTACCTCTACCCTGAGTATACTAAGACAGAGAAAAGGAAAGTGGAGGGGGAGTGAGAAAACTAAGCTGTCTGATCATTTGAATGGGTGGGATCAGGTAAAAGCGAGGTAGAGACTACTAAAGCCTAGGTCACACTACAGGATTTATAACTCAGAGGCTCCGACGGCAAATTGATTTCTTTGACTGTCAGTGTTGGGTGGATTCAGGCGCTGGAGGAAAGTCCAAGAAAAATCAAAAACGTATCAAGGTTTCCTTAGACTGTGATGTGAGAATAATCAGGCAACATCCAGTGGCAGTTTACTGTAGGTCAAGAGGTAAGAAAAATTAGATTAGAGGTCATATTTAACAGCTAAAAACTGCAGCTTGGTTAAATACAAGATTCTCATTTTTCTCCTGCTGTGCAATCTGTTTTTTGGAGGAATATTTCTTTTATAAAATGGCAAGTGTCCAGCAGTCCACCTAATTGTGCAATTACAAATTAAGCAGTTTTATATAAAAAGGCTTTAAGTTTATCATTTAAAAATCCATTTCTTTTGTAAACATAAACTGCAATTTCTGCACCACAGAGCAATATGTGAATATGCGATATGTGAGACTTTTATTTGCAGTAAACAGCTCTGGTAAATTAGAGAGAATTAAATGCTGTGTGTAGATGTAGCGTAGTTATCCAAGAGCAGCAACTATTCTAATAATTAATTAATTATTAGCTCAATTTTCAAGCATGATGATTTATGACTTTCTTTGTCTTAAATTGTAGTGAATTGAATATCTCTGGGTTGTGGATTTTTGGAGAGATGAAAAATACTCTTGGGTTTGAAGACATCAAACAATGTTTTATAGTCTTAAACAATAAATAGACAAAATAAACTGCAGATTAATTAAATAATAATCAAAATAATCGTTAGTTCCAGCCCCTGGCTGTGTTACCTCTTTGTCTACATGTCTATATGTACATGAGCAGATCAATCAGTAACTTAATCGGTTTTGCACCTTTTGTGTGATTTTGTCTTGTACTCTGACCTAGGCTTGAGGTGCAAGGTTAAGGATGAGAGTGAGGGCAGAAAGAGAAGCGCAAGCAAGGGGAGGGGTTAGTGTTTGGGTAAATATAGCTGCAGAGTGACTACTGTGTATGAACTAAAGCTAGGACTATGATAGAAGAAAAGGAAACATCTTCTTGTGTGCATCTTGTGTGCAAATAGCACTGAGGGGGTAAAAGTCTTTGAACACATACACACTCATACATACACAGTCTCAAAGAGTTCCTCTCAAACACCCTGTGAAAATCCTGTGATTGGACGGGACAAGGCGAGGAGCGTGGCCTGAAACAGGAAACAGGTATCCTTCCTGTTTTGGACTGCGACTCCCGCCCCTCTCGTGTGCTCCAGCAGCACATTCGTTACCTCCACTTTAGAGAATATCCACTCCATCCACCCGTCGCTGGGTTTGTTCAGTCGTCCACAGAGCTCTCCTCCGGCTGATTAGGAGAGAGGGTTGTGGCGTCAAATGATAGAGTCCGCCTTCTCAGCTCAACACTGCTGTCCATCAGCTGGGTTGCCATAGTAACTGGCTCCTCCCCCGGCGGCGGGCTCATCCTCTGCTTCCTGTTCCCGCCCGACACCGGGGACACTGATTGGCTGAGGCGGCTCCTGTGCTCCCCGGGGCTCGGGGTAAGGTGTCTGCTTTTGTGTGAGGAGCTGGGAGGGCGTTGTGTGTGCGAGTGAGTGTGAACAGAACTGTTAATGCGGCTGACTTCCTCGTCAGCGTCGTCTAACTGGGGGCCAGGGTCAGAGGTGGGGCCGGGACTGGCCGCTCTGGAGCTACAGAGCGGGGCTGATAGGGTGGATTCACCGCCGGGGACCTTCAGACTGGACAGGCTCTGCGGGCTGACAGGCCTCTTCTCGTCATCTGTTTCTGGCTGCGAGCCGCAGATGGCCTGCTCAGGAGGTCCATGTTCTTGTCCGGTGGTTTCACTGTGGCTCCGGCTGTGGCTCCTGCATGAGATGACCCTCTGGGGGTGTGTATATTTCAGTGTGTGTACACTGGACGATCGCTGGCGTGGTGGCGTGGAAGAGACAGCAGACGCAGTGAGGTGAGGCTCTGCCAGATCGTCAGCTGAACCGCTCTGATCCAGAGAGTCAGAGCGCACTGCCTCCTGCAGACACAACACACGCACAAACACACACATATATACACAGGATTCATTATGTGTTGGGTAGATATAAAAAAGGATTGAATACTATGTGGTAGCTTGGCACAACAGCATCTGAAGAACAAAATCTGTGAATGCAATCGATTGCAATTTTGATGAAGTTAAGTGTGTACTGCCTGGTGCTTGCAGGTCGACCTGGATCAAAAGATAAAATGTGGAATGAAAACATAATTTCTAAATAATGTATGTTCATTTAATATCATGATCTTCTGTGCAGAAACACAATTTTGTAAGGGTTTATTATCTGGTCCAGAGTTTCTGATCATGAAACAATTCCTACACAACTACACTGCAAAGTCCAGTCCTTGTAGGTGGGTGGGTGTATGAGTAGTTGGGACTGTAAGGACTCTGTAAAAGTTAAAAAATTATAAATAAAGTTTGAAAATAAAGACTGAAATACTGAACAAATTGGCACCTACTTTTCTTCCCCTCCCCAAAAACCTGCTGATCTAATTGATTTTCCATACTGTACAGAAATGAACTGAAATCAATAGCTGCCTGGAACAGCAGGAAAAATCATCTAAAAACTCTGAAACTGTACAGCATGCATTTGAAAATGGTAAAAAAAAAATGAAAATATACATAGATATACAAGAGAAGAGAAGGTGATAATAACGCACCTGTCTCCGTAACTGTCTGCTCGCAGTGCGTAAAGACGCTGGTCTCCTCAGAACCGAACTCTCTGGGACGTAGGAAGGACTCAGCTTGTTTCTGTCTAAACTGTCTTCAGGGCTGAGCCAATAAGAAGGACGTCTGCTGGCACTGTGGGTGGGACTCAGTCTGAGTGACGGATGTCTGTCTATACTGTGGCTAGACATGAGTTTAGGCCTCTCTGTCTTATGTTCTTGATTCAGCCTGTATCCATCTATACTGTGAGCAGAGCTGAGTCTGTGTCTGTTTATCCGATGGGCCGGGCTGAACTTGTATCCATCTATGCTGTGAGCTGAGTTAAGTCTGTGTCTGTTTATTCTGTGAGCAGGACTAAACCTGTATCCCTCTACGCTGTCAGCTGGACTCAGTCTGTGTGGGGAGTATCTGTCGATGCTCTGAGAGGTGCTGAGGCAGATCATCGGCCTTGAGCTGCGTCCAGATCCCAGTGAAGCGTGGCTTATGACGGGCAGAGCTCCTGGAACCTGCAGCAGAGAGCCGCCTCCACTGGAGCCCAGAGATGACATGGAGCCTGCAGAACGTTAATGTGACAAAAAAAAAAAAAAAAGCACATGGATGAAAGGAAAACAACAGAATAAGGTACATATTTCTAAATCAGAACCATATTTTTAAATCAAACAATGAATAACAACATACAATGTCTATAAATGAGTTTTTGTGTGAAAATTGCATCCTCCTTGAAAGGGTGAATGATAATCTATATTTTTCTAAACTCCTGATCCTATTGACAAGTGTTGTCCGTGCACACAAAGCCTGATGTACAGTAGCTTATCTCTCTGTGCCGTAGACTTCCACTGTTGTCCATGAAACACGTGAATGAGTCTCACTGGATGAGTGACATGTTCCATCATTATGGCGAAAAATGGGCACAGTAGTTTATCTTGACTCAATGCATACACTGTCCTGCTGCTGTAAACACTCAGTAGAGCACTAAATGTGTATTAATCCCCCACTGAAAATAGACCCCTACAAATACACTCGAGTATTTTCTTCTGTTTCAGTAACATTTGCTAAATGCCCTTCTGTTTAAGGGCATATTTAGCCTTTTTAACAAATTATAGTCATAACCTTTAAAATAAAATTGTATTCAGTTGGAACAAATGGACCTGGGGGCCTTGGTACCACAGACAGAGTAGATGAAATATCACATTGTTGGTTCATGGGATTTGACGATAGTAATAAATATATACACAACTAAAAATATTTGAAAATATGTCAACCTTTGTTTTAGAATTTAGTTTTGTGTTGATTTCATAAACTTCATACAGTTTATAGGAGCCAAATTCTTCATCATTACCTTAATTTACTCAATTAACCTAGCTTTCCACTTAACAAAGGGGTTTATATTTATACAGGATATACTTTAGTGTAGAAATATAACATGGAGTGTCTGAGTCTACATCCATGTTTCCCCACTCCTTTATCATGGGAGGTTTTCAGAGCTCAGGTAGAGTGGTACCATATAATTTTTTTGACCACATCTCATCTGAAGGCTTATAGAACCTTTATTGTTTATTTTTCTAGTTATAGCGCATAATCGGGGCTGTTGTGATGGAACACATAACTACATACTGTTTATTTTATGAATACCTTCGGATCCCTTTGTTTCCTTGGTTGGACTGCAACTCGGAGCACGCCTAACTGCAGGCATCATACGTGGAGCCTCAAGGCAAGTTTGCATTGTACAATTGCCTCTGCACAGTGTATCATGGGGATTGTGAGTAGAGTTTTACATAATTTAAATAGACATTATTAATAAGATCTTTTTTGGACTTTATTTATCTCTGTAAATTACTTATTATTATTATTATTTTCTAGTAATTAGTTTTATTTTAACTCAAAACTCACTGTTACTCTTTTGTGATTTGGTGATGACCCAAGCTATTCTAAAGTGCCTCTAGGGTGATATCCCCACCTGAAAAACTAAGGGTGGAATAGGACCAGCAGCCATGGAAAAAGCTTGCATCACTAATATACTTTGCAGACATATGCTAGGCACCACCAATTTGTCACTTATTATTAAAAAATATCTTCCTTTAGGCTTTTAATAACAGTGCCACTCAGTGTCCCACATCACACCTCAGCTGTCTTCTAAGATATTCATGGAGGCAATAATCTTTACAGCAATCAGTTAGTGGTTATAGCACAGTAAAACCTGCTCCTTAATTTAATTGGCTATAAATAACTGAAGTACCTGAGTAGCTGTAGCCGGAGTAGGCCTCGTGGCCAACGGGAGGATGAGGGGAACATCTGACTGGCTGAACGTAGCTGTCGCTGGGGAGAGACAGCATGCGTCCCATGCTCAGCAGGTTGCCATGGGAACACTCCTCATCCTCAACCTGCACCTGGCACATGAGATCATCACCACTGTCATTGTCACCTCCACTCCCTTCCCTTTCCACGCATGCAGAAATACGAACACTCGCAGTGTGCGTTACCTGAGCAGGTGTGTCCACGTTTGGCCCCAGGTCTCCGCTCAAAGATGCAGCACTGAGGCGACGGTTGGCCTCCTCCTTCTCCCTCTCCCTCCTCTCCTCCCTCTCCCTCATCTCCTCCCTCTCCTTCCTCTCTTCCATCTCCTCCAGCTGCGCCTCCTTGTTGCTCTCCTCCAGGTGCTTCATCAGGACGGCTACGACCACGTTGACCAGCACAAACTGAGCCGTCAGGACGAAGGTGACGAAGTAAATGGGGGAGATCAAGGGCAGGTAGGTGAGGCAGTGGCGGTCCTGCGGGCGACACTCACGCAGGGTGTCCTGGAGGACACGGATAAGGAAGAGACTAAAGATTGTGAAGCAATGAAGACAACTGATAATAGACAAAGGGATTAAGGTGATTTTCAGGTCTATTAATGCAAACCATTGTACTTCCTCTCCTCTCCAACAGGAGGAGATGTTGAGCTGAGCGTGAAAGGACCGTCAGACCGTCACAGAAGAATAATACACTCTCCCAACCCTCTAATGTCAGCAGCTCTTAGTCTGTCATAAAAACAGTGATCCGCTCTCTGCTTAATGCAACGCCTGCTCATAACCGATGCTTTGAGACACACAGATATGCACAGACACAAACATGGACGTTGCCGTCTATCCATCTCCTTAAAAACTCCCACAAAGCAGTGGAGAGAAAGAGGAATAACCTTCATAATCCCATTCCAGTTGTCCCCGGTAGACACCCTGAAGAGTGTGAGGAAAGCCATGCCAAAGTTGTCGAAGGTAGCGTGGCGACTAAGACCCTCACATGGGTTCTCGTCTGAACACTCTGCAAGAGGATGAAAAGAGGTAAGAGAGTGTTAAAGGCAGTTAGTGTGGGAGAGGAAGTCGAGGGGAAAGAAGAGAGAGAATTGTTCTTAGATTAGAGCACTGATTAGAACAATGATTCTAAATTGACGTAATTAATGTATGTAACACAACAAAATTTATTCATGTTATGTAATCCACGGATATCTCACCAGTGTCAGCTGAGGCACACACACACACACACACACACACATCTGCACATCAGCACCGATTCATATGCATGCACACACACTAACATGCTCACACACACGCACACACACACACACATGCATGCATGCATGTACACGCACACACACACTAACCCAGTTTTCCAAAGAGCTCAACTCCCAGAGCTGCATAGATGAAGAACAGCAACATGAAGAGCAGACCCAGATTCCCCACCTAGACAGACGTATTACACGCACACACAGATATATACAGTGTATGATACACAGAAAAAAAGACATGTACAGTATACATCAAGAGAGACGCAAGCATGCAAACAGATAGAGAGAAGCCATAGACAGAGACTGCTAAGCCTTACTGCATTGATGTTTCCTACTTCTTAGAAACTAACAGGAGCCATCATGATACCTGGAGTTGAATCATATCTCAGATTTCAGTTCGAGAAACAGAGGTGCACTTTCATTGCCTGGATCCAGTCCTGATGAATGACAAACACGCCTGTTTATTCCAATTACAAAACAATTCACATGGACCTGGCTTTCCTTCCTGCATGGTAGGAGGAATGGAGATGTCTAATTACATGATGGATAGACTTATTGATGAAGTGCAGGGGGAAAAGCACTCGGACACCGCTGCAGAGACCTGGCTTCAATCCCTGGGAGTGATGTGTCACTTCAAAGACAACTTTGTGGATGGGAAGGCAGTGATGGGTATTTTGCTGCCCTAGAGATTCCTACTTTCCTGGTTTGTTGGAACACCTGCGTAATACCGTGAAGCTCCACATGATTTTGCAATTACCCATTCTAAATTTGGGAGGAAAAATTAAAGTGGTTATAATTTAACTGAAGCTCAAAAGCAGAACCTCGCCTCTAACAGTTTATAAATGTGTGTTAGTCCTTGTTTAGCGTGCATCACCCTCCCTGCCCCTTTCTCTCTGTACTTGCTCATCTTTCATAGGGCCCCCTGAGGGTCCGCCAAACCCCGAGCTGAGGTAGATCCTTCCTGAAGCCTGCCCCCACACCGCAGCCATCATCAATCATAACTCACACATTTCATTTTCAATAAGAGTCTAAGGCCAGGCTAACAGCTGGAACTACAGGGGTTCAACATGGTCACCGTCTTAGTTAAAGCTGTTTGCATGCTAACATTTTCTAATGAGCAATTAACACAAAGTACAGCTGAGGCTGATGTGAATGCCATTAGTTTTGCAGGTAATTGGTCATAAACCAAAGAAAAAAGCTTTTGACCTGATGATGGTGCTAGATAAAAAGTTAAAGGTTCAAAGAAGTTATTACAATTCATCTTTTGGGGACATGAATAAATCTTCCCAAAACCTCATGGTGACACTTGAGGAACACAATACATATACAATACACAATACATCGAATAGCTCAGATATTTCAGTCTGGACCAAAGTGGTGGACCAACCAATTGACACTGGATGGCATGGGTCACCTGGGATGGCAAAAAATTGGAACCATGCCTCATAAATCACTCTTGTTTGGACAATCAAGCATCGAGGCAGAGGGGAAAGGGACAGAGTTGTTCCAATATTGATACTAGCAAAACTAGATCGGGTATTGGACAGTATGAGTCTATGCACCGATCCAACACCACGTAATTTATTAATAAACTTGCAATAAAACGGCAGTTTTACCATAAAACAATTCTTCTTCGCTGCTCTAAAACAGTAGCCTACACAGGAAATTGCATCGTGCAGCCAGCAAATGGCAACTACTGTTTTAGAGCAGCGAAGAAGCATTTATTTCTGGTAAATAGTCCAACATTAGCAAAATTTGGCAACATGTTACACCAGTAAAAAGGCAACTTGTACAGTATGCAACGCAAAATTTGGCATTCTATGGCATTCATGAATCTGTTCATGTTTAAGGGTTTAACCTGAGCCATGCTATACAACAATGACAGCAATCATATCACATCCATACAGGGTTAGTAGATTTTTTTTAACGCAACAGTCGGATGAGCGCAGAACTGGTATTGAGAAGGGAAACATGGCATCGCAACATCTCTACTGGCCTGATAACTTGACAGGATTTTACAGTCCTGCCTCAAAGGAGAGTAAACTCCTGTGTGGTGTCTTTGTGTTTGATAAGCTTTCAGACTGCACTTTCAAATTTTATCTTCTCACAGATAACAAGCAGCAGAACAATTGCACCAAAGCAGCCATGACGTTATGTGTCATAAAGTTATGATATTTAACTGGTGATTTATCAGCCACACTGATAAATTTAAGAATCAGGTGTTAGCCTTTAGCTAAACAAGAGGACGCCTTCATGCTTGTTTAGTGGTTATTTCGGTGTCACTGGGTTAACACCGGCCAGCAGGGGAAATCAGTGATGTTAGGAAATCCTGTGGGAGGCGGTCAGTGCCAAGCCTCATAAATCGCTAAATAAAACAAGCCATCTGCATTTCATCAGATCTGGAAACCAGGCTAGTGCTTTCTCACAGCATCAGTGCTGCCTCTTACCTGAGGCAGAGCTTGCATCACTGTGTCCAACAGAGCTCTCATTCCTGTAGCCATCTTCAACAGCTTCAGCACTGAAACATTGTAATGTGTCAGCTCTCCTCAGCCACATATTATCATGTTTGTTTGTGCGTTTCTGTGTTTGTGTCACTGTGTGCGAGTACCTCGTGTTATCCTCAGGACTCTCATGATGCGTATGATGGTGGGGTTGATGGGCAGGGATGCATTCAGGTCTATTTCCTCTAACGTGATTCCCATGATGGACAACAACACAATGGCAAGGTCCAGCTGGTTCCATCTTGACACACACACACACATGCACAATTTCAGTTTCTCTAAGGAGGATGCTGTATTTTTGTAAGTCTTTGAGTTCCCATGAGGGTGTGAATACCTCTCTTTGAAAAAGCGACGCAGGCCGAAAGCAATGAGCTTGAGAATGGCCTCGATGACAAAAACCACCGTGAAGACGTAATTGCAGTACTTGAGTATCTCCTCGAGGTACTGCAGGACACACAGACACACTTCAACAACCCGCTGTAGCTGCACTGTCCCATCGCATACTGCTTCATTACTATGGTTCTAGGACAGGTGGGAAGAAAGGTGTTGCCATGGTTACCTTAGGCTGGTTGTAGTGCTCCATGCTCATGGTGAGGAGGTTTGTGAAGATGATAATGGTGATAAAGAGATCCAGATAGTGGCTGGTGCACACGGTGTGGATGGATCGACGCAGTGGGGAGTAGTCGGCGTAATATGGCTTCTCCTGGGCCCCTGCATCAAACACACACACACACACACACACACACACACACACACACACACACACACACACACACACACACACACACACACACACACAAACACACAAACACACAAACACACATGGTCATTAAAATGCTTCTAAAGGAAAAATATGGTATGGGCTATGAAGTCACTGATGAAGCGGGTGCCAAGTGGCGCACTGTGCTGCGTGTGTGAGTGTGCATATGTATGTGTGTGTGTGTGTGTACAGACTAAAAGTGCCACCTCAGGAATTCATTCCTATCCATCATGCACACACACACTCCATGGCACCTCAAGGTGTCTTTGGGCAGAAATCCTCGCTGTCCGCTGCCAGACAGTTAACTGACTAAGAGGAGAGCACTACTAGAGATTACACTGCAGGGAGAGAGAGAAGGAGAGTGAGATAGAAAGGAGGGAGAGCGAGAGAGGGAGTGTGCAGTGGCGTTAAATGTGTATCCGAGTGTAATATAGGCAGAAATTATGCACCTACTCATACAGTATGCATGCGGATAAAAGAGGTTTATCGTGTATGACTGTAACATTACATTTACTTCTTTATTTTTTTACTATATGTTTACTCTGGGGCTGATTTCATGCTAAAGCTAATGCTATATGAATGTAAAGACAAAGTCAATAACTTCTGAAGGCATCATTACATAATGAAATTAATGTCAATTTTCAATAAATACAGGCATTTATATACATTCATTACAGAAACATGAAATAGATCCGACATGAAGAGAAAGCAGAGAAAAGAGTCGCACATAAGCTGTGAGTGAGACGCCCTAGTCATTGGCAGAGTGGACAGTGACACACTAGCTAGAATGGCAGTGGATCATCTCTGGCAGCTGCTGTGTAGCCAGAATGAATTGGACACTGGGAATAAGGCTGTTGTGGCTGAATGGGAAGCAAAATCCCTGCAGCTAGGTTCCAAAATGTTGTGGAAAGCCTTCAAATGAGTGGAGTCTGTTGTAGAAGCATGTTTAACAGTTTAATACAGGTGTAATGATCAGGTGTCCACATACTCTTGGCCATGTACTGTATGTCTCCCACCCCCCTCCCCTTTCATGCTTTCTTACTTCTCCTCCTCTTCTCCAACCGCCGCTGTCGTTTCTCCTCCCTCAGCCGTGCCTCCTCCTCCTCCTGCTGCTGGCGGCACTTGTGAAAGTTTTCCACCACCACACCCACAAACATGTTGAGCACAAAGAAGCTGACGATGAGGAGGAAAGAGATGAAGAACAGCAGCATCCATGGGTTGTTGTTCCTTATCGGCTGCGGTAGCAGAGACAGAAGGGAAGAAGAAGAGGTGGGGAGGTAGCGTGGGGACAAAAAGGAAAGAGAGGTGAACCAAAGAGTGACGAAAGAGGGTGAGGAGGGGCGGAGAAGAGGAAAAAGGAGAGAGCATATAAACAAGAAGACAATGTAAGTCCTGAGTCAGCACTGAAACTGCCAGCACTGTCAACTCACATCTATTTATCCTTCTGCCTTTTTTCTTTCCTTACACTTCCCTTCTCCCCTGAAATATTTCCTCCTTCTGCTTGAAACAAACAAGACCAAATGGAGCCGAAGAACGACACAGAACACAAACTAAACTCAGTAAAACGCAATATACAATGGATAAAAGGTTTGTATGTTTCCGTTGTGCTCATTTCTTTAATCCACACACATTTTATATGTGTGTGTGTGTGTGTTTGTGTGTGTGTGTGTGTGTGTGTGTGTGTGTGTGTGTGTGTGTGTGCTCACCTGCTGATCCACTCCCACAGCATCCAGGCCATCATACATGATGCTGACCCAGCCGTCTTTACATGACAGCACAAATAGTGACATCAGCGCCTGGAAGAGTGAGGCACATGAAAACCAGCGTCATGCTATCAATCAGTTTGTAAGAGCAGGTGTCAGTGATGGATGTATGTGTGTGTGTGTGTGTGTGTGTGTGTGTGTGTGTGTGTGTGTTTGTGTGTGTGTGTGTGTGTGTGTGTTTGACAAACCTGTCCCAGGTTGTCAAAGTTGTATTTCCGTCGATCCCAGCGGTACCCTGCCTCCAGACACTGGCTTTTATTGGTGATGTTAGTCACATCGAGCCCATCACAGTAGAAGAACTTCCCCTTAAACAGCTGCACACACAGACAGATGTGTGCACACATGAAAACACATGAAAGAACACTGTAACCTAAAGGTAATGTAAACAAAGCTTGACGGAGCGGAGATAAGATTGATGTGTTGGTGTACAGTAAATTACCCAGCGAGTGCCTACAGGCCTACTGTATGTTACAGCTGAAATATCCCAGTACCATCTGGTCCGGCCTGCCTTACAGTCATTACAAGCACTGAAACACTCCAGCATGGGGTGTTCTAATTAGAAGATAATCCAGTGTGTTTTTGAGAAATATGCTTGAGTGTTAATATTAGCTCCGGCATTCATCAAGCGTCAGTTCCTGTGCAGGCTTTAAATCTGAATAGTTGCAGGAAGATCTGCAAAATGGAAACTAGCAGAAAGAGGAGGAGAGGCCTTTATATTTTAGTACAAAAGTACCACTGGAAATTTAACATTTTACACAGTGGTTCCCAACTTTTTCTGGCATGTGACAAGTCTCACAATATGCACGTGAGATTTGAGCAGTTTAACCAAAGAGCAATTTTTCCTTTTTTCATTGAAATGTTTCGTGCGGGCTGTAAATGCTTGAAGAGGTGAAATGATCTGAGAAAAAAGTTACGAGCCAAAAGAAGCATAATTTTGTTTTGCAGAAATGTTTTTCTTCTTTCTTATATCTTTAATTATTTGGGACCCTTCAGATTTATCACGAGGAGGTTGGGAACCTTGGTTTTACAACATGGTAATGTTATTGATTGCCCATTTTTATCAAACAGAGCTTGTAATTTTTTTGTTTTTATTAAAAAAAAAAAAAGAATTTGTAGTTTTTTTAATATTTGAAAAATAGATGAAAATTAATAAATAAAATAAATGAATAATAAAATGAATTAACTAATTAAATGAATAATACAAAAATCCAGGTGAAAATCGGATTTAAAAAAAAAATACATTCTCAGCACAATCCCCCTGTAGCTGAACTACTGTTTTCAGTTACTTCCAGGGACTCTGGTGCATAATCAGCAGCTCATTTGCATTTTCTCCCAATTTTTCTTTTCACTTTTCATTACCTAGGGCATTTTCCGAGCTCTGCCTTGTTAATTTTAAAGCACGGTGATCAGGGTTTTCTTGCAACAGAAAATACAACAAGCTTTGGATGTTTGGCAACATTAAACTGTGTGGCAATGAGTTTAAACTCCAGGTTTTTCAAGGAACATCAGTAAAAAAAGCTGAACTGCTGAGGCTTATCTTCAGCCAACAGTTAATGAGCAGGGAATAGCGTAAATACAGCCTAAATGTTTACCTGGACTCCTAATATTCCAAAAACGATGAAAAAAGCACAGCAGATGAGGACAATGTTCCCAATAGGTCTGAGAGATGTGATCAGAGTCTCCACCACCAGTTTTAGACCTGGAGCTCGACTTATCACCCTGCAACACACACGCAGTTACACACAAATGTACACCAGATAATTTCAATGGAATAAACATAAGAGAAAATCTCCCATGCACCCACCTGAGAGGTCGCAGGGTGCGGAGCAGACGAAGGACACGGAGGATGCCTAAGATTCGATTACCTCCTGCTGACGCGATGGACACCAGGATGTCCACCAGCGATACAAACACCAGCAGCCCGTCTAATATGTTCCAGCTGCTCTGGAGGTACACACCGTTTCCAAAGTACAGGCCCATAGCTAACACCTTATCACACACACACACACACACACACACACACACACCGCAAAATTACTGAAATGATAAAATAATATAAGGTGTAAAATGAGACTGAAAGCAATTCTGATCCCCACCCAGGAAGAAAATTGCCCTTTTATAAGTAAGATGAGAAAAATGGCTTTGGAGTGAAGTGCTTGTTCAGAAAACGTGCACTCTTATAGTTACCTTGATCATCATTTCACCCACGAAGATCACAGTGAAGATGTAATTGGACACACTGAGGAACACCCGCTCCTGTCACACACACACACACATGCGTGTGAGAGTGTGCACAGACACACACAAAGAAGCACATTTAAGGGTTTTGTTGTCCCAATAGCTTTAGCTTTGATTTTGGACCCAACCTAATTATAACGTGTTACATAATGAGTCGAAAAAACGACTGCAGCAGAAACACAATGTTGTGTGTGTGATCTAGTACTTCCATATTGGTGAGGACCAATTTCTGTAAAGAGCAGTTTTAGGGGTAAGACTGGATGTTAACGTGACAGTTAAAAATACTTATCTTAAGTGAGTTTATTTGTATAGTACCTTTATAGCACAACATTTAAACAACATTTAAAAACACAATGAAGTTGGAAATAACATCAATAAATTAGACCAGAGCAGAAAAGAAATGCAGCTTCATTGGAAAATTACAACCATTAAGTTTAAAGGTGCTATATGTAAGTTTTCTCAGCCATCCAATGTGGTTTCTAGGCCGGGGCTAGGTGGTTAGCGTGCTAATTTCAGTAGAAGTAAAGATGTGATAGAGACAGGAGTTAACTTTGGTTTTGCTTTCCACCCCTGCAGACAGCTGTTGGCGAGTAAAGGAATGAAGTTTGATGCTGAACTCACAACGTTTATTCTAGACTGGGAAGTATACAGCTGTTAATGCTAACGCTAGCTATATAATAGCAAAACTTACAAATAGCTCCTGTAAGTTAAAGCCTGGGGTTAGGCATGTTTTTACAGTGCTGCTGGGGAATGCATTACACTAATGAGAGTCCTCACAAGTATAGAGATACAAACATGTTAATCCATGTGTTTGCATGTGTGTGCTACCATGCTGTTGGGCTGTATGTCAGGCCTCTCCAGTGCGATGGTGATACAGTTGAGGAAGATGAAGAGGAGGACGACATGGTCGAACATCTTGTGACTCACGACCCTCTGACACCACAACCTGAGCCTGAAGAAAGACACAACGGTAGGGAAAAGAGCATCATCAGCTACTCCTCTATCTCTTATATGATTTGTACTTATAACACACCACCTACATCACTGCAATCGCTGCATTTCAAAATAATAGTGTGTTTTTTACACTTGGCCAGTTTTAATTGATAAAAGTGAAAATTTTACAGCTAATCTGTGGCTGTAACCTTCACACCTCAACTGTGAATTTTCACACATGCTGTGGTTTAAACCACCTAGGCCGCTCAGGAGAGTATCAGGGGCGGTGTGTGCATGCGTGTGTGTGTGTGTGGGGTGTGTGTGTGTGTGTGTGTGTGTGTGTGTGTGTACCGGTTTTGTGGAGAGAACAGATAGAGGGACCACTCTTCATGCTCCAGGCACCACTGAGGCTCATATGGCTCCAGCATCTTCTTCAGCTTCTTACATAAACTCTGAAAGGAACACACACACACACACACACGCGCGCACACACACACATTTGCAAATGACACATACTTAAATACACAGTTAAATGAAATATGATTTTTTCCACTTTGTGAGCTCATTGTCTAAATCATTATGCTGTGAATTTTAAGAGGTGATCTTACACTGTATATCAGTGCGTGTGTAAATCTTCCAACACAGCAGAGGTTTTTCAAACAATCTTACCAGTGTTTTCTCATAATTTAGATTCAGCTAATTAAATATTACGTAAGTGTCTGAGGTCACGAGGGCTGGAATTTATGCCTTTGTAAGATAATTAATTAGCAGTTTTTGAACTTTTGAACATGCCTGAAAAAGCTCTTTTATCAACTTGCTTTAACTAAAAATAACAGAAGCAGGACACCATCAAAACGGGTTTTTCTTAGGATGTAAACATGAACCAGTTAAACAGCCTAACATCTATTTATCAAATAAATAAATAAAACAAACGCCCAGAGATTCACCTCTTCAATCTCTTCCTCCTCCTGATCACTGAGGTAATGTGTCGCCAGGGGAGCTTCGTCGTAGCAGTTGTCGGGGAGGTGAAAGGTGGTGCCGTTGCAGTCGGGCGGGTGAAGCATGGGCACCTGTAGGTACTCAGGCTGGTCCAGAGACTGCTCCCTGCTGCTGAGGTTGGAGCTCGTGTGTGTGTCAGACAACAGGGACTCCATCTCTCCCGACTGGCTCTTCCTGTGGAGGCTGGGGGCTCGACCGATGCTGGTCCAGCTGGAGCGACGGCTCTCTGGCCCGCTGTCCCACATAGACTGTGTAGACACCTTTGAATAACAGTAGCATCTGGTTGGATTACTGAAGGATTGTTAGAGTGCAAATAAAAATTACATTTTCCACAGATTACTAGCGACGCTGTAGAGCAACATTTTCATGAATCAGTCTCCGTTTTGTTTTTATCTCATGCTCCCGCCGCAGCTGGAGTCTTAAAAACACTATAGAGACGTGGCTTGTCCCCAATTCTGATTCCCATCTTGACCAGAACTTTGCAGCTCTGGTGTACGATGACAACACATCCCTAATGACTGCAGAGGGTGGTAATGCAAACGCATAATGCATGCTAGAGTTCTTCAAATTGCTGGAGCCAAACTGAAGCAGACCTGTGGAAAACCTACCTGAACCCAAATGTACATTCCTTAATTTTCAAACAAAGCGATCCAATTCAAATGGATGTGAGGACATTCAGACCGTCTGAAATAGACTTCATTCAAAAGACAATCCACCAAAACAGACCTTAATAGAGAGGGAACAGCAACACTGACAATAGCATGATGTGCCACCAATTAACAACCAGCGACAGTTGAAAGCAGTCATTTTTCCCTGCACTGCACAGGTTCCACTCTGTCACACCTCAAAAAACACATTTTTCTCCTGTCATGATTCTGACTCGCTACATTATCTGAGCTTGATAAGTTTGCTTGGATGCACTTGTATATTATGGCATGTCTACAAAGAAAGTGCTTCAGCCATGTTCTTCATGCACATCTGACAGAAGAGATACTCTTTTATTTTAACCACTCCAGCGCTCTACACTGGAAGTGTAACAGGTTGCGTTTTGCCTGCACTTCACAGCCATAAAAGCGTGTTTTTATGGTCCAAGTCTATTTTTCTGCATTTTACACAAGTAACCACAGAGATTGTGTGTGTGGCTTTGATCATCTTCAAAACACAGGTGACCTGTAACTCAGTGCTGTGCCTGAACGCCTCCTGCGTAGACACACACGCAGCGCTGAAGCTGCTGCTGCCTTTCTAACATGCTGCTCACGTTGCGCCTCCTGTGTAGACATGGTGTTAGACATAATGACACACAGACCTGAGCCCTGAGGCAAAAGACCAAGATGCTACCTGATTAGATTGTAAACTATACACTGTAATTTGGAACTGGGCCGACTCTTGTGCTGGGTCAGATCTCGGTTATTAAGAGGGGACAGTGGACGGTGAGGACCTCTGGTACCGATGAAGAAGATACTAGGACACTGAGCTGGAAACATGTCATCAGTTTCCATCCAGGCCTGCACATAAAACCATCCATTTACCTCAGACACAAGCCATGTCATATCAATTCAAGGAGGGTTATATGGTAAAAAATATAAATATAAATGGTTTTGCAAATATTTAATGAGGAAGGAAATACATTCATGTCCTATGTTAGGTCTTGGGAAAAACACCGGTAGTTAATGTGGAGAGAATACTGGTAAAAGCATGTGTCCAAGGCTCACCGGTGACCTCTGCTCCAGGCTGTTGACATCCATGGAAGCACCACTCGCCCGCCGCGATTGGCTGGAGTTTATGGTGGGTGTGGCTGCGGTGTGTGTGATGACTGGCAGAGGTGGAGGAGGAGGGAGGGGCATGGAGGCCTTTGGGTTCAGGAGACCATTGGGGCTCAGCATCATGGCCTGGATCTTGAGCTCTGTGCAGGCGCACACACACACACACACACACACACACAAGCACAGATATCTTTTGTTAACGGATAATTCCTCTTTGTTAAATGTTGGGATTAGTTTTAGTCATCATTTGTATCAGTGAACTACCACTGAACACACAGAGGTCATGTCCACAGTAGTTTTTTGTTCTGGGGCCTGAAGTGCAGTTTATATTTCATAATCTAAGGATATGCATACTAAAAGTTTAAAGTTTGGATACAAATATTTTTCAGACTGTGTTGTTAAAAAGGACATTTTTTTACATGTATTTACATGAATAAATAGAACACATTAAAAATTAACAGAATTTATTTCTGGATTTCAGCGTGCCAACTTCAGTAGAAGAAAAGACGTGATAGAGACAAGAGTTAATATTGGCGTTGGTTTCCACCCCTGGAGACAGTTGTTGGTGAGTAAAGGACTGAAGTTTGATGCGAATATTTCTTCTAGACCGGTAAGTAAACAGCTGTTAATGCTAACGCTGGCTTTGTAGCAATAGCAAAACTTACAAATAGCTCCTTTAAGGTGATTGTAGGAGAGTTTGTATTTCCATGTTTGTACCTGCAGCGTATAACTCTCTCAACTTCTCCTCATCCTCGTAAGAGAGTGATTGTCTCTCGTCATCTGACTCAGATCTGTTGGCATCACCCTAAAAAAAACACACACACACACACACAGCACTGGCATCATCATCCTCCTCATCGTCATTATCACCACCTTCCTTTTGTTACTGTCTGTTGACTGTTGTAAAAGTGAAAAATATGAGCAAGTCGAGAGGGAAAGACTGAGAGACAAAGAGCGGAGGAGGCAGACGGGTGGAGGGGATCTCCAGTATTCTCTAGTTGAGTTATGTGCATGGCTTTGGCAGCGATCTCCTGTAGTCACGCCAATAAAGCTTTACTGAATTTAATTAAAATTCACGCCAGAAAGATGGAGGCAGACGGCTTTGGCAAAGGGTATCTGTGAGTGTGAGCGTGTGTGTGTGTGTGTGTGTGTGTGTGTGTTGTGTGTGTGTGATAAAGAGAGAGAGAAAGAGAAAGAGAGAGAGAGAGAGAGAGAGAGAGAGAGAGAGAGAGAGAGAAAGAGGAAGAGAGAGAGCAAGTGCTTTCTGATGCTGGAGATAAAAGATGAAAACTAAACAACAAAAGCTCACCAGCTGTGAATGGCAGGCGATATCAAACACATCCCTACCCTGGAGAGTGTGTGTGTGTGTGTGTGTGTGTGTGTGTGTGTGTGTGTGTGTGTGTGTGTGTGTGTGTGTGTGTCAGCGAGAAAGAAAGATAGAGAGAAAAGGGGGATGGAAAGGGAGATAGAGGAAGAGGGAATAACTGACAAAAAAAAGAGAAAAAAGAGCGATGCATAAAGAGAGAGAGAGGAGAAACCACACAGGCAGGATGGCGGAGATTATTCTCTTGTAGGCAGCTTTGGTATCATCAGCACGACAGAGCTCAATTAGTCTCATTCTCTATCTCTCGTTCTCTAAGCAGCTAAAGTAAAACTGCGTCTTTGCCCTTACTTCAGCTTGAAAGCCCTCGACCAAAATGGCAACTAGCAAGTTGAAGAGGACGTAGTTTCCAAAGGTCATGAGGGCAACGAAATAGAGGGCAGCCAACGGCGTCGTGGAGGCCATCCCGTTATAGAGCACCGCATTCCAGTCCTCCTGGGTGAGGATCTGCACATGGGGAGAGAGACGCTGGATCAGAAATGCAACCTATGCAGCTACTAGCTGTTCAGAGAGTAATAATGAGAATAATAAGAGCGGATTCTTCCTTTAATGTCTCATTGTCAGTTGAACAGTAATGATGCTCATCAGTGTTAAACGAGCTCCTGTGGAGTGTGTGTTTCAGTACCCTTCCTCATCCTCACTGCATGTGAAGTGTATCTTATTTGCCCACTGGGAGAGTTTTTATATTTTGTTGAAAAATTGAGCGTGAGCGCTCCCAAACTGGAGCAAATGAAATAATAGAGAAGATTGTCAGTACTACTGCCAGCGACAGCAGCAGCTACTGTTTGAATCTCATCGCAATTCATTTTAAAATCAAACTCAACAGTAATTCAACAACGGTGGGACATTCCTCTAAATTAAATATTCCTAATTTAATGTATTTGTGTGCTCGTGCGCATCTGCTTGTATTTGTGTGTTTGTCTAACCTGAAACACGGTGACAGTCGCCCACAGCAGAGAGTCAAAGTTTTTTCTGTCAGGTAAAGTGTCTCCGCTGTCTTGTCGCAAACCGAATTTACAGCCAAACAGATGCATCCCCAAGATACTGCAACCCGTGCACACACACACACACACACACACACACACACACACACACACACACACACACACATACAAAACATTGAAAAAATACATTGCTTTCATTACATGGTAATTCAATATGGACACAATGCAACAAGATGCAGTAATGCTGCTCGTGTGAATAATTGTGTTTGTGTGAAAGGTGATGATACATGTGGTAATATGTCCTGTAACAGTGTAAGAAAAAGGTCAGTAGCGGTGATTATCATTTTTGTAGAGAATAATCAGTATAATTAAAGCTGAGAAAACATTTTGGCTTGTGAGTCTCAGCCTGCGGCGTTGCCCTTGGAGAGAGGCAGAATATACTGTACCTGAATATGAATATAAAGAGCATCAGCAGCATGCAGAACGTGGCCACATTGTCCATGGTCTTCATCAGCACCACCAGCTGCCTCCTCAGGGCAGGGAGGAACCGGACCAGCTTCAACACTCTCAGCAGACGGAAGGTACGCAGCACTGATAAGCCTCCCTCTGCCTCCCCCACAATCTCCCACACACTAAAACACACACAGATGACAAGCAGATTATGAACAGAGAGTTAAATTCACATTAAAAGAAACCGAGGGATCAATACCTACTTAACCTCAGCTGTAACTCTTTTTTTAAGTCAGCATTACTATCACCCTCAGACAGCTTGCTTAACGGCTACTTAACTCTTTATTTTCTTGCGACATGTGGCAACTGCAAAGAGGAATCGGGCCAATGCTGTTTACAACATACCAGCCAATAAAGAAGGTGAGAGCAGTATTCACTGGCACAGTAAACAAGCAGAGCCTTCAAGCACAGATACATAATTTAGCTTGTAGTACTACATAATGGAGTGAATACAGGCCCCCTGGACTAGAGTGCAACCACTTGGCTTCAATGCCAGAACCAGCCTCACGGTGAGAGTCTGGAAGATGAGGCTGCGGTGCTGACTCGCGATGAGGATTTCCCAATGACAACGGGAATATGTAATGACAGAATTCCCATTTCGGGGGTAAACATACAGACAAAGCCCCCCCTCCCTCCCCTCCTCCTTCCCTCCTCAGATCCCCACCTGATGATGACAATCACGCTGTCAAAGCCGTTGTAAGGGTTCTTGATGTAGCCAAAGAGCCCGAGAGCCAGGAGCTTCAGCAGCATTTCGAGGCTGAAGAGACTTGTGAATACCATGTTACTGATCTCCAAAATATCTGTCAGCTCCTGCGGCTGAAGAGGTGCAGTGTTTGTGGAGAGAAAAGAGGGAAAGATTGATGTACAGAGACAGACAGGCACAGAGGAAAAATGAACAAATAAACAGAGACAGACAGACTGACAGTGTGGAGCGCTGTAAACTCAGCATGTCAGGAATTTATAAAATGCAAGTCGAGGCTACAGTGTGGGTCTTTGTGGACAAAGTCTTCAATATACACAGAGAAGCTGCCGCAGAATTTGAATGAAGGTATGTTTTTACTCACAATTTTGTTCAGTAGAACAAATGAATGCACGTTTATTACTGGCATTATTGATACTGTCTAAATCTTCCCAAACTGAGGGGAAAGCCTCTCCTGAGGCATTGCAGGAGGAACAATCATGACTCAAAGGAAAATGGCAGAGTTAAGAGAGGTCTGTAAAATATAAGGCTGCAGTCAGGTTATGTGCCAAAATCTTTCTTGGCTGGATGCTGTCGCCGTGAGGTTGTCAGGCAACCAGCGGAAACTCCAGGAGATTACAGCTCCGAGCCAAGAAATTGTCCAGCACACAACCCCCCTTGTAAAACGGCTATGTGTCGTTTGCACAGTTTAAACAAATGAGATATAATAAGGGGTTTCATGAAGGTCACAAGGCTCTCATGTTAGAAGGAATGTAAGGATGATGTGAGCAGACGACCGAGAGTCTAGGAAATGTCTTGGCCAAACTACGTTAAGTCAAGGATAGTTTACAGTATCCATACATGGAGACACCAAGAAGACAAATGCAGAAACAGCTAATGCTCTCACTGTATATGAGGCAGCTCCATCCTATGTCAAATTATCATTCTCTGTTACTGATTCTGTCTCTGGAGCGAATGAACCGAGCTCGTCATTAAACTTTGATTCTTTGTGGCCATCTGACTCATCCCTATATTCAACAATTACACACTGTTTAACACAATGGATTTTCACATGCTGCGGGTGATGTTGCTTTTTTATGCAGCACTGCCTCGTTCAAAACCCCAATAACATTATCTGTTATAGAAGTTTCAGAGTTTCATTAGAGGTCTGTGTAGGAAAACATCCTGTACATTTCTTTGTTTGTGAATGATTTGTTGGCAAACAAAATGCATATATTTGTTCCTTTGTATCCCATGTATAATAACATACATGAGATTAAACATTTCCTTGTTTGGTGTTTTAACAAATTTTGCTAATAATTGTTAATAATAATAACTATTGTCTGAGTAACCAAAGTCTAATTTAGCTTACGCCGCTGTGCCGTAGCGCTGCTGTCAAACAAAAACTATGGTATTAAAAACACATGAAGTACCGGTAAGATGGCAGTAGGTGACATTTCTTTCACAGCACAGCCACCGTGGTTTATTCCTCTCAGCTTGTAAACTAGCAAAGCTGCGTAAAAAAAGGAAGTGTCTCTGAGCATGCCCAGTGACATCTGCCTGACACAGCTGCTCTCAATGTATATGAGGCAGAGCTGCTCTCCAGAGATCAAACACAAGTCTCTGAGGTGTTTCACGCTAAATTACACTGGTCACGTTCACTGAAATGATGGAAACTGAAACTGAAACTGTTTGGTTCTTATTTGTGTTTAAATGTTTTGCAGATGGCAACGCACTTCTGTGGCACAGCGGGGAAAAAAAGCTTTATCAGGCTTTGGCTACACATTCATATGATATTATATTCATTCATATATCTTCATTGTTGATTTTGGTCTCTTTGGGGGATTTGTTGATACTTAAAAAAAGGCTAAAATAGGGCCGGCCTTATCCTTTAACATTAGTCACTGAAGAAGTTAAGGCCGTCCAGGTCTGTCGTATTGTTCAGGAAATGGGCCAAATGCAATCTCCCCTCATCTCCCACCCACAGTCTATCCTCGCCTTTCAGCCAATCACAATGTCAGATCTGTCCTCCTCCTCCTCCTCATGCCTTCATTCGCTCTCACTCGCTCGCTCGCTCCTCTCACTCTGCCCCGTCTCTACATCGCTCATTCTCTCCCCTGTCCCAGGGTCATGCTTTAATTAACACTTCAGGTCTTATGACTTTCTCCATCTCCTGATACATGCATGCACACACCTACACACAGTCTCACACACACACACAGTCTCACACACACACACACACACACACACACACACACACACACACACACACACACACACACACACACACTGTGATCCCATATGCTTTTGCTGTAAGTGTTGATTGGAGGGTAAGTTTATTGACTCCACCACACACAGTGATTAGCACATCCATTTTCATTCAAACCGTAGTCACATCCAGTCTGCACGGGACACACACATGCCAACACACACACGCACACCAACATACCTGTTCGTGGTACTCTATGCCCATTGACAGTGTGTTAATAAGGATGGCAATCATGATTCCCCTGTTGAAGTATCTGCTGCCAACAATGAGCTCGAGTTTAGTTCGGAGACCCGCCCAGCAGCGCTGGAACAGCCTTTTCTTTGGCTCAGACACCTGTGCATCACCGCGGCAGGGACTGCTACAGCGGCATGGGCTGTTACTATGACACGGGCTGTTGCCATGGCATGAGTTGCTGTACCCAAGCTGCTGGTCTTCAGGCTGCTCATTAACATTTTCGCTGTCCCTAAGTTGGTTGTAGTAGATGCAGTAGGGGCATACTGAGGACTCTCCTGGGACTTCGCCCGGCAACAGTAACGCAGGATGCCCGCTGCACCCACCTGCACAGACACAGGGAGGAGCTGATATAGACATGGGCCACACAAATCACGCATGCACAAGGGCAAAGCAGATAGTTGATTTGTTATGTTGTAGTTATGGAAACATTCTGTCATTCAATATACTCTCTGCTCAGTACAGGAGAGCACCTTCATTTCATTTCTGGGAGACGAAAATTCAATAACATGGAAGCTACTGTGCAGTTGGGATGCTTTTGTGCAGAGGGGGAGTTCTTTTATTAGAACAGGGATGTGTATGTGTGTGTGTGTGTGTGTGTGTGTGTGTGTGTGTGTGTGTGTGTGTGTGTGTGTGTGTGTGTGTGTGTGTGTGTGTCTGTGTGTGCGTGTGTGTGTGTGTGTTAGGGGAGGAAGGGGTGTGGAGTGAAGCGGGAGTAAGATTTCAGTGGAATTCATTAGCAAGCAGCTCGGGAGGAATGCTCCAATGACATAACAACAAACACTAATCTAGCACGAGCAGTTCACTTGTCATCACAATTACAACAAATTCATGTTTCACTGGAGACTGATATAGTAAATCCAATCTAGTCGTTCTGTGGTGTGTGTCTATAGATAATGTGGGCTGCAAGGAAACTTTGAGCAGGCAGGCTGGCTGAAGATGACTCTCCACTACATACACACAAAATGATCTGATCAAGAGCTGTGATTTTCAGCCATTCTGGCCCACGGTCCCCAGTGAAGGTAACTACACACTGAATAATTTCTCTACGTTTTTTTGTGCATGGAAAATGTCGCAGCAACAATTAGAATTAATTACTGAATTGTATTAAAATTGGATGTGTATTTTCTGTGTTACTTTATGTTCCACATCAAGGTCAGTTTACTCAGCGTGGGGAGTACTGCTGAGCCTGTGAAAACAGACTGGAGGCGTTTTGTCGAGTCTGAGATGTCGATCACGATGTCATCAGGGGTATTTTGGCTTTGGGAGTTTGGAGGATGCGTTGTGTTTTTGGAGCATGACCTGTACTAGGAATTACAAGTCAGAATATCTTGGCTTCTGCTGCTTTGATTTTAACCATCACTTTTTTTTTGTTTTTTATCTTTAAGTGAGAGTTGTATGAGTTTTATAGAGTGACCTTACAGACCCCTGACATCTGGGAAAGCAACATCTTAAAATCTTGAAGGATCCAGTGGGAGCCATCAAAGAAGGTGTATAGTTTAACCAGAGTAACTCAACATTGTTTCTGGCAAAGACTTGCTGCTCTTTCAAATGTATTTTGATAATGCTTTAAGCTCCTCCTCGTGTGGCAACTATGCCACAACGCCACATGTAATGCAAAAAAAAAATGCTTTATAAACATCTTCAACATCTTGCTGCAAGTCATTTTTATTCATATTTACATCCTACCTCTCTCTCAGATCACACAGAGGAAGAAATCTGGACCAAAAAGTTCAGTCTAAGAGAAATGTTTTAGCTCAACTGTCTGGACACACTTCAACCTTTAGGCTTGAATAATGACTGTTATTTCAGAACTGTGCTCTAATTTGACAGATTTTTATTTTGAACTACGGTGTTATGAAGTATGGCAACATTTGGTTGATCTTTGCATCATTGTTTATGGAGTCTGCAGCTGTCCTGCCCTTCTCTTGGTTTAATACTTGCATCCCCTATTCTCCATCCTTGTAGTCCACACATGCCATGGAACTACAATAACCTTGCGTGTGAGCTTGTGTGAGGGACACGCAGATGTGTTGCCTTGGGGATAATTACCTAAATGTATAAATCATACCACAGTGTCCTTGCACTTTGTTTGCTTTGAATGTCTGATGAAGGTCTATGACCAAAAGCTCGTGAATGGATTAAATGAAATGGTGCAGACTCTAGCATGCAGAGGCTGCTGTTTTTTATATAACGGTTTAAGCACCAAAAGCAAAATTAAATTCACCTCCACTGTGTCAAAGGTGGCAAAAGTTTCACCAGCTGATATTTCAGAAATCGCCAAATACATCTGAAGAGGTCTAAATACTACAGAATTGATTGGGAAAATATGTTTGTTTTGTAATCTGGGTGAACTGACTAACTAACACAGACGCACATTTAAGTTTTTTTCCATGAAAAAAAACATCACTGCTAACGTTCTTCTCTGAGGATCCACACCTGTAAGACCCGGGTTGTGAATTTTGATGTTGAGAGGTCACACAGAAACACACACACACCCATTCATTCTCACCGTGCTCCAGCACCAGCTGCGGCAGTCTGTTGACGGTCTCCGTGGCAGCCAGCCTCTTCTGGTCCCGGCCTTTAGCATCCAGGTGGCTGAAGAGGGGCGATATGAAGGGATAGTTATAAACGTTCCCTCCGTTACTGACAGCAGGTTCAGGCTGAGGCTGATGATGCTGATGGTGATTCTGGTGATGATGATAGAGCTGCTGAAGGTGTGACAGGTCGTTGGGGGCGTGGCCTGAGTGCCGGTGGGCGAGTCCATTCATCTCCCCGACTCCGCTCCCTCTGGCAGATCCACCGCCTCTGTCTCTCTGGCACACGCACACGCAGTGAAGGTGTGGGCGTGTCTGAGCATAGTAGCGGGACAGTCGTCGCCATGCCTTGCGGCCCAGGTGCGCCAGGTAGCGGATGATCTCCTCGTAGCAGCTTCCCGGTTGGCTGTCGCTGGCCAGCGTGGAAGCTGATTGGTGGAGCTGACGGGCGCGCTGCTCTGATTTCATTAAGGCGTGTTCCCTCTGCTTAGTTTCAGAAAACTGGGTTGCTATGACGACCAGGCACAGGTTGATCATGAAGAAGGAGCCCACCTAGTAACAACAACAGACACACACATACAAAAAGTTAAACTTGCTTAACAGCTAGTGTGTGTGTGTGTGTGTTTGTGTGTATGTGTGAACTCAATATTTATTTATTAGTGCCAAATCAAAACAGAAGTTATCTCAGGGCATTTTTCATATAGAGCACGTCTAGACTCTTTATAATATTGATTACAGAGACCCAATAAATCCCACCATGAGCAAGCACAGTGTGTGTGTGTGTGTGTGTGTGCACTTACTATAATGAGGAAAATGAAGTATATGAAGTTGTAGAAGGAATGTGCATCCATGACATAGTACATGATGTCTACCCAGCCTTCCAGAGTAATTACCTGGATGAAAACACACACACAAACCAATAGTAATAACAGTAATGTGTGGTGTGTAGTGTGCATATCATTCCTTGACTATGAATGTATCCCTGTATTTAAATCCTTCAAACATTTACCTGAAAAATGGCAATCCATGCGTATCCAATGTTATCAAAGTTAATAGCCCCTTTGTGTGGGTTTATTTCTCCAGCTCGACACTCGTTGTAATACTGATACCAGTTCACACAGGAGACCTGTTCTTCTACTCTAAGTCCCATCTCTGGACGGGCCTCCTCAGCACCCAGGAGACAGAAAGTCCCGCCTACACGGCGGCGAGGCACATCAGAGCACCGCAGCATCCCATTTTCTCTTTCTGTCGAGCAGATGAAGGGGTGGTCATCGGTGCCGTCTGGCCGATAGTAGCCACTCAGGAAGGAAATGTTGTATCTCCTGGAGCAGGAAGGTAGGAGGTCAAGTCTAGTCAAGTCCATTTTTATTTGTATAGTGCCAATTCACGACAGAAGGTATCTGAAGGCACTTTTCAAATAGAGTAGGTCTAGACCTTCTCTTTATAATTATTTACAGAAACCTAACAATTCCCACCAAGAACAAGCACTTGGCGACAGTCGCAAGGAACAACTTCCTTTTAAGAGGCAGAAAACTCGAGGTAAATGGAAAAATTATTTTATGTCATTTATTACGCATGTATAATAATTAGTAACTACTATACAGTAATTTAATCAAAATAGGGCCCAAACCAACGAAGCTTTCCAACTTCTCGTTCCTGTCTGTGGCCTTTCAGTCCTTATGGGGATGTAAATCTTTAAAAATGGCTAACATGGCTGGTTTTAGGCAGTCATTACTCAAACAGAAGTAAATTTGCTGGGGACTACTTTTAGCTGTAGATTCATAGATATTTAGTCTACTTGTGGGAATCTATGCGAGACAAAATAAACGACAGTGCCCATGTTCATTTAAATGAAGGAACATGTCACCCAGTTCAACTGTGCAGCTCACTAATGGCTTTTTAATACTTTTTGGACAACAATGGATCACTGCGGGACAGAGGAATGAGTTATATCCGGATTTGACCACACAAATAATACTTGGGAGATCAGTTATTCAGTTCATTGTTGGTTCTCTTAATGGGAATACCTAAGATACTGCCAGCTGCCTTGAACTGCCAAAACAAGAAATGGCCCTTAAATTCAAACAATGAGTTTCTGGAGAAATACAGGTAACGTAGAAACGGTTTTCAGGATGATAAATCATTTTATCGACTTGCTCTTTGTAGAAAAGGTCTGTTTTCTGGAAACACAAAAAGACAGTAAGAAATACACAAGTGTGCTAAAGGACGAAATGTGGAAACAGAGAGAGAAATACAGATGAAGGGGGGAAAAAAAGAACAGAGAGTAGGAGGGTGCAGTGGAGAGATAAGCAATCAATCATCTGTGGTGTAGAGAAGGGTCACAGAGGAGCAGCGCTCTCACTTCTTATTAGGAAAGGTCATTTTGTTGTTTATGAAGCAGGAAAAAATTCAAATTGCTAGCTGAAAATGAAATCTATAAGCAGAGTTAGTTTTGAGTGAAAATATATAGGTGTGACTAAAGCAAGATAACAATGTGATATTGCCTTTCCTTAAACAGGTGTAATATGTTTAAGATGCAACCACAGAACCCCGCACCAGGGATACAATTAACAGAATAAAAAAGTTCTTGCTGTTCAAGGCCGTTCATCACTTTTAGTCAGTACTGATGCTTCTGTTTTTCTTCTGTTGCAGTCATAATAAACTGAACCGCTCTCATCTCAGAGAATCACTGACTAGCAACTGAGTAGTAACTTCTACTCAATCACTCACAAGTTTTACTTACCAGTTCAACTATGTTATAATTTAGTTTTACCTTTGTAACATTGTTTTGAAACGTGTTACATAAATAAAGTTTATCATTATTTTTATCATTATTATTATTAGTTATAATAGTAGTTGTAGGATTCACTTTTTTTCTAAATCAACTATGTTTTATGTGTTTTATTTGTTTTTATCATATTTTATTTTGTATATTTTATTTTATTTTATTCAATGTACCAAATTTAATCTAGTTTTCCCTATGTATCATTGTTTTGGTGCTATATAAATAAAGTTTTATTATTATTATTATTGGTAGTAGTCGTAAAAAGTATTTAGTTACAGCAGTAACGGTGCAGTACTAACGCACAGTGCATTCATTATCAAACAATCAATTGCTTGTATCTGACCCCCACCCCCTCCTCTCCACATATGAACACTGTCAGTGATTATTATCTGAGCAAGATGGTCGACGAGCTGATGCTGGGTCAGGAGGTGTGCATGATGTTAGGTGTGATATTATGGGATTGTGCTTGCGAACATGTGAGCAGGAGCAGGAGTGAGAGTGATGGTGTAAGAGCGACAGTCAGACGGTGATCAAGCATGACACGAAGGATCGTGTGGGGAGAGGAAAGCAGTGACACAGAAACTCTGAAGGTGTGTTTTGAAGCAGCCACTGAGAGTCCGCGAATACCAACACACAGTGTTCACGTAGCTTTCTTACTCCCTTGATTCGTGATCTCTAATGCTGGAGGGTCCAGCAGGAAACACAACTGATTAAAGCACAAATAAGATCAGCCATTCACTGATATTGATCCCCTATTAGAAATAATAGGTGAAAGTTT